TATCAATACGATGCATTCATTAAGCAGGCATTGTAATTGTTGTGGTACAGTTAAATATACTTCAAAAAGACAGTTTCTATAGAATTCCAAGAATCTAATCTCTTGTATAATCACAAATGCAATAAAATAGCAACAAACATATTTTGATTTATTATAGGAAACGAAATTTAAAACCAACAACAAAGTGATTCAATTTTTTTATTTTATTCCATTTACGGTAATTGGTTGCATGTAACAAATAAAAAACCCCACCATTAACATCTTGATCGATATACTGTTAAAAAACGAGGGTAACCCTATATGAGAGTTTATTTTATATATTGTTGGAAATGGGTTTGATAAATTCAAAAAGGAATTAATATGGGGTTGTTTCAAACTAAAAACACAAATCTAATGAGTTGGATTTATTTCCCCAAAGAATGGTTGATGGATTTTTCAAGTAGAAAACGATAGGTTTTGGTGGCCAATGATAGTGATGATAATGGTAATGGTGGGCGATAGACGCTAATGGTGTAGATGGACGGTGAAACGATTAACGAACATTTTCATAGACATAAAAAAATATAATGAATTTTTTAATAATTAATAAAATAAATAACTAATTGGTAGCTAAATAACCTATTAATATATTTTTTTAACTACAACAATAATAATAATATAAATGTTTTAAATGAGTATATATTATTTCTTCTATTTTAGTAAATAAACTACAAAAACTCATAATGCTTTAAATGATGGTTTAATGATCCATAAAAAATTTAAATCTTTTACTGAATTTATGGTCTAATGATCATAAAATATTTAAAATTGTTTTATTTTTATTTTGCATTATAAAATAAAAATTAAATTCTGATTACAACAAATGAAGTGGTCACCCACGTTCTATTTAAATTTTATTTTTGGTCACTCATCTCATGTATGCAATCTCTAATATCAGTTATTATTTTTATATTTTAATCGCTATCATAATGTTTTTTTCTCAAAATTTATCCTTTTACTTTTGTAAATTACATTCTAACCCCCAAATTCTTTTCTTGATACCGGTATTTACTATTTAGCCCCTCGGGAGGTAATCGGCCACTTTCGATAAAGTAGCTATATGATAACAGAAGCAATGTTTTACAATGTGTACATTGATATTTGTTTATAAGTTTTATGTTTATAAATTCTACATGATGCCTGATTTTTTCGGCATAATTATATACTTCTTAAATTCATCTTATTACAAATCTAGATGATGATGAAATTAATTTAATTTAATTTATTTTCCACAAGAGGGTATAGAAATCAAAATGTTCATTCAAGCCTCTCCTTCATAATATGAAATTATCAATCGTCTATTACTAATCAGGAAGTTTTATTCACGACATACATACATGCATGTATATGTAACACAATTATATATATATATATATATATATATATATATATATATAGGCGAATTATTGTGTGAGAAGGAAAGTTATGTTGAGAATCATAAGAAGAAAACTGAACCATTAATCACTTTTAATCTCATGTCCATCCGTGACTTGCGCTTTAGAAGAGAATTGATCTGGTGCATCTCATTAGTGTTGACATTCAATTAGGATTGATCAAAGGATGAAGATCTCTTCTTACGTTTCTCATTAAAATTTCCCTTTTCACCGAAACTCGACTCTCTTTATATATAGGGGCATGTTCAAACTATAAGTTAAACATTTCGTGAGAAGGCGCAAAATTTCAATATCATATATGATTAAACACACTCAAAGGAGTGTTGGAAAAAAAATATAGGTAATGATATGCCTTGATGTTTTGATAACAACAAAACTAAAAGCGTCTAGCTAGGCCAAAAGAGAAGTTAATTTAGGGACTAAATAGAGTGAAATTTAAATCCAAGGGACTACAAAAAAGATTCATAATAAAGCAGGGGACTATTTTGCTAATCATGGAAAGGGTCCAATTTAGTTTGCTTTTAACTCACTTAGCCACCGATTGTTTATGCAATTACAATAAAGCCCCTTGTAAATTGAAATTCCAAATCTCAACATTTTCCTATGTCTAAATCAAGCAAACTGATTTTCCATTGCAAACAATCCCCCAAATTTGTGGGTAAACTTTCATATCAAATAAAGATTCTCAACCCACAAACTAAAAGAAAAAAAAACCCCAAACCCCACTACCCAAACCCAAAGTGAATAATAAAATACATACAAAGAAGGGGCATCACTTGTTTTGTTATCTTGAAGGATATGTGTATATATCTTCCATTACATATGATATAGTGGCCATTGGTTAACATATATGATATGGAAACAAATATGAGATCCTTGTTGATTGGGTTTTATCCTTCAAATTGTTGGTCAAAATAAATACAAATTAATTCATTAATATTTTTAAATCACTCATATTTTTTACAATGAAATTAGGGCGTTGAATGGTTAAGAGAAGTACATGATACAAAATCATTCAAAGAGTTTTGGAACCATTAAAAACATATTTTTTTGGTCAAACAAGATTCATTTTTTAATGATTTAGATAGTATCTTTTACTGGAACTATTAAGAGGTAAACAAACAACTCAACAAAAATATATGTATATATGTATATATATATATACACACACACACACATCTGTGCACATTCAATCTCAATGAAGAAGAGTTATTAACCTTGTTTAGACGGTCTTATTTTTATTTAACTGTTATAGATTTTTTATTTAGTATTTTTGTTTGTTGTTAAGATTTTGATGAACTACAAATACCCAACAAATATATATATATATATATATATATATTGTTTATGTCATCATCCAATTTCCATCTTGTTCGTTTTTCCTATGAGTTAATGAGATAACATAAAAGATATATAGAGATATAAAACGAATAATTTTTTTTTTGTCTTTTTATTTGAAGTCATAAAGATGTGGTGAAAAAAGGTGATGTAGTTTACTTCACCTACAATACAATTCATGGAATAATCACAAATTTTGTGCACATGTTTTAAGCAAATCGTTAAGAAGTGATACACATAATAATGATTTACGCAAGGAACTATAAAAACCCATGAAATTTTCAAAAGAGACAAAAGTTGATGGTTAACCATCTTTTTAATTAACCTAGATATATAATCTGCTATACGAGCCAACTAATCCCAGGACGACCAGCCGCTTCACGGATAACTCAAGGTCACCGCATTTAAACCTTCGTGGTCACAAGGGGATTTTTATTCCTTCTTGGATTCGAACCTGAGACCTTCAGACACTTTTGACCTTTAGAGCTCAAGCTCAAATCAATCGAACACCATCCTTGTTCACTCATAATAAATACTATAACAATAGATTAAATCATTTTACTAGTAAGAATCTCAAACCAAATTATTTTTTTCTACTACTTTTTGATTATATAGTAGTTAATAAACTTTCTACAACAACTATTGAACTTGTAAACTAAACAATCATACTTTTTTTGTTATATTTCATTTGAATTTCATGTTTTTTATGCTGTATTTCGCCTTTATCTTATAAAAGTGGATAGGCTAAAAAAACGTGAATGAAATAAAAGAATATACAAATTCACAAAAATAGTCAAATGACACCTTTATTCACTTTCTATCTCATTTTTTCTCAATCCATCTCAAAATAACTAAGATTTTGTAAGTGTCAATTAAGCAACTTATAACATCTATTTTAGTCGGATTAAATGGGTTTTGCCCATTTTGGATCTTATATAATCTTAAATTATGTAGACTATTAAAGGTTGATGTTCTCATCTGTGATACATTCGTTGTATATTGAACGTCAAAATAGGAGCTCGTATGAATCAGAAATTAATAAAAAAAGTAATATACTTGAAAGGATTTTGAAAATATGTAAACGGCTATCTGAGTCATCCCACATAGGTGGATGAATAAAAAAGAAGTGGGTTTATAAGTAGAAATAATTTATACACGGATGAATAAAAAGGAGGAGGGTTTATAAGTAGAAACAATTTATGAGATTGTAAAACTTATGGTTGCACACATATGGGGTGTAAATGTGGACCGAAATTGCCTTTGGTTAACTAAACTTGTGTTCTATCGTGCGTCCTACAGGCAAAGAATGCACCCACTAGTCGACTGAAAAAACCGACTCCCTTCTTCTTGCTATCAACGTAATCTCCGGGGCCTCAACAATATTTTTAGTTTCTCTATATTCCTTTTATGTATTCTCTGGACTGATTCCTAGATTTATGTATTAAAATATATTTCTAGTTAGCCACTCCGCAAATCATAATGTTATAAAAAGAGATCTTTATAAAAAAATATCGAAAAAATATGCGTGGTTTCTCTCTAAAAAGTAGGAAAACCCCCAAGGCAGTTAAATGCAAGGAGGCGAAAGCAGAAGAGCGAATAAAAGAGAGCCATTCAACTATTTTAGAATAATACCCTATTTTGCTTATAACTTGAATACCAATGATTTATTGACTAATATTTAGGGGTAAAATCCAATAAATAAATTTAAGTAAATCCAATCCAATCCAAGCAAACATTGGATTTTAGATTGTCATCTTAATCCTTTTCAACTAACATTGAGTATTTTATCCAACGATCCCTAATTCAACCTAATCCAATGAATGGTTAGATTGAAACACAATTCTATCTATAAGATATTACTAGTTATCAATTGGATCGAACTGTATTTATCCAATATCTTGATTCAATTTCTCTTTTAGGTTGTATACTAACGTATATTATATATTAGCTAAAAAACAATAACTTATGATATTATAATTGTGTATAGTTATTAATCAAATGATAATTAAATAATAAAGTTAGTCAGCGAACAATAAGTTCAATTCTGTAGAATGCTAGATTACCATTCAACAACCCACTTATCTAATTTGAAGGTTATAGATCAAATTATAACCAAACACCCAATTACGATTTATCAGTTTTAAATTAGATCAAATGACTTTCTACCCACCTTTTAATATAAAAGGAGTGAAAGCAAAAGAAAGTAATCAAAAAAAAAAATAGCTGTTGGCAGAACAAAACATGCACACAAATTGTAGTTGTTTTCATATCCAAACAAAAATTAGTCCAAAACCACATTTAATGTTATGTATGTACCAACAACTGTAAATGTATATGATATTTATCATACATTCAATTTATTTTTGTCAAATGTCTTCCTAATCCCTCCTCCTTTTCTTCCTCTCTTCCTTTTCGGCCGAGTTCTTCAACTGCATTACATACACATTTTGTTATATTCAAACTCCACAAAAGGATTATAATGGAAAACCGAACTACTACTCACCATTATGATAAGGATGCGAACAAAGACGGCAACAAAGTCGGTAAAAAGGGTAAGCGCATGCTTCACGTAATCCAGATCTCCAAAATGAGCCTTTTCGATGATCTCTTGGGTATCAACCACCATGTACCCAACAAATACCAGAAGACCAAAATACAACTGCATGCATCAACAAACTCTGTCACTTCTTTTGAATTTTTTAGGGTTGCTACCACAGCATCTCCAAAAAATATGTTTACATGGGGAGGAAATACTTGAATTACTATTGTTACAATGACTGATAGTGGTATGTTACGAGTTGTTAATCTTGTAAAGATTTCACTCACGTATTTATTCTCGTGCGTATAGAGTTAAATGGCGAACACTAAGAGATAACTTATCTGGATAAGATTGGAGCTGTAACACCCTTTACTTTAAACCATGGTGGAATTTTTTTTTGAACTTATAAAGAGTTCACAGATCTATTTTTTATACATATGAGACAGATTGTAACGAAGGGATCAGGAACTTCACCTCAAACTGGAACATTGCCACAGAACCTCCAAAGATGGATGAAGCAAAATGCAACCAGAAGAGGATCGACACGCCAGAGGACAGAAACCCTCCAAGGTAAAGGTACTCTCTACGTCTTGCCAACATGGCTGCTCCTGAAAAACAAGCAAAAGCGATCGCAGTTCCCATGAATGCGCTCACCAAAATACTGCAGGAAAACCAAAAGATACCATAAGAATCCGTCTACCAACAGAATGCAAATGGATACAGATGAGCGTTATAAATTCAGCATACCTTGGTTCAAAATTAATGGCCAATTCGATTAAAGGACCAATGGAGGCTCCTTGGAAAAGGGCAGATGCCATCAAAAGCGAAACCCTCTTTTGCTGGTCAATTCAGTGAACACAAAATAATTCAGAATCCCACTGATCAAGATTAAAAAAATTCAAGAGAATAATCGACAAATGAATCTACCTCTTCATATGGAGGAGTGGCGAGTAACCAAAACATGCATCCCAAGGTTGCAAAGGTGGTCAAGAGACCTCCGATGTTCCATAAAATGTGAAGATAAGCTCCGATTGCAGATGCTACAAGAGCACAACATAGCGACAGATAAACCTGCATTTAATGTCGTAGGGAGCTATTTATTAACAATAAAATCAATGGAGACTCTATGGAAAGCAAAATAAAACGTAATATATGGAAGAACAAATTGAACACAGACCATTTACAAACATGAAATACATGCGCTTAGAGGTTTTTCATTTCAAGAAATAATCATCAGGAGAGTTGCATAAACATAAGCCTTAATTCAAATCGAAAGAACGAATCAAGTAGAAGTCTTGATTGGAGTCATCCACGAAACTCCAAGATGATTACCTTACTGTTACGTTTTCTTAATAAGCAGTATCCTGTTAATGAATTCTATATATGGCATACACGGGCAGGCTCCTTAAGATCTAGTTCACTTAACTGTTATAAGATCATAATTGGACCCATGTATATTTGGTAAGGTTAGAGAATAATCAAAAACGGAAGAAATTGAATTAGTAAACAATTAAATTGGATTCGACACCTGGTCGTGCTGTGCAAGACCACAAGGGCAACCAGACTATTGGGAAAGACAATAAATGCCCAAGCTGATTCACCTCCGTTTATTTCAGCCCTCTAGTGCGCCTCCTAGTTCTACTACTCCTATGTCATGTCATGTGTCAGGTATTTCATCTACAGACTCCTTGCATCTCAATTAGGTCACAGGAGCTTGTTCATGTTCTTTTAACTTGACCGTAAATGAACACAAATAAAAAGATGTAAATGAACAATAAACATCCAGTGTTACTCATCATCTCGTTCCTTTCAAAAAACATAATGTGATAATGTGGATGAAAGATTTCAAGCTCATGTAAGAAGGAAAGCAAATTAAAAAGACAAAATCCAGTTTCAATTAAGTAATAAAATTATACTCCGTATTAATCCAATCGAACGTAAACGATAGCAGACGAATTAAATAAGCAAACACTAACAAATGAGCATAAATAAGCGAACATTAACAAACACTTGAGAACGTAATTGATTCTCATTGGTTTAATTTGACGAAATAAACGACCATCCTGCTTCATGGTTCCTGAACTCGTTTACAGCCCTAGTCATGCCACAAGAAAACATAATTTGCTTAATGTCCTGAACGCTTCTAGGGTGAACCAGAACCAACCTTATCATGAAACCACTCATGTTCTTAAAGCTTTATATTACATTATGAGACCTTGCATGGTCAACCTTTTCTTTTATCCATTCCTCGATCCTATATCGATACTATATACTTAAAACAAAATCAATTTACAATTACAAACATGAAAACCAGGAAATACTTTGCAAACAAAAGAATAAAAATGAAAATTTTCAGATCAAACACCTAATAAAATCGGTCTCATACATGTAATCTCCAACAAGATTTGGCTTGATTGTCATCGTAGTATTATAAGCCCCAACATTAAACCACGATATCCATCATAGAAAGAAAAAAAAAACTCGCCCAAAATAACATATAAGCTCTACGGATCAAATACTAAAGAAATTGTTTGTATTTTGGTGAACACGAATTGATGGGATCATTTATTCTAAAAGTGGAACATCTATTTTTAAACAAAAACACGAAAATGAAGAGATTTCACAAAGGGAAGAGCAAAATTGAAAGAAATTAGGGCAAAATAGATGAACCTGTTTGAGATGAGTTTGAACTACAGGAGAAATTTGACGGAAATTCTTGAGAGAATCATAAGTCCAGCTGCTGCCACGAGAAGGCGATGGCGATTGCGATTGCGATCCGAAGAAGGACGAGAACGATTCCATGGTAATGGAAGAAGAAATTGATGAATATGATTAGAATGGGTTTGGAGGAAAAGAATGTGACGTATTTATATAATAAGTCGATATCCAGACGTTGAAGTTATCTGGCAGTTTCGCGAAGTCACGAGAGGGATAATTGTCAACCTTTCACAACTCGTTTCTTTTTAAATACCTTAAAATTATTTAGTCTAGAACTTTCCAACTTTTATCCTCGTATATTCACAATTAAAAAATGAGAGTGTTAATGGCGTTGAATAATTGAGAATTATGTTGTCATAAAACATTAAATTAATTTTATTATTATTATTTAATATATATATATATATATATATATATCTATTAAGTTATAATTATATATATACTTTCCACGTGTACTTTAATATATTATATAATATTTTTTATTTATATTATTATTATAATTTTTTATCTTCACTTATATATATTTATATTTATATATATATATATATATATATATATATATATA